TTATAAATGCATACTTTTGCACAGTCACGTCGATGTTCCAAAAGTTGTATTCATTTCTCTTACCCACGCAGACAATTGTCCATACAGACCCTGCTTGAAATGTCCAATCGATTTTGGGTCAACAGACGTTGGAAATACTCGTGGCTTAATTGGGCAAACTCAGACATTTTTTCGCTAAAAAGGGAATAGAATTCATCAAGTGGTTGTAAAAATGTAAAAACTTGTGTGACCTTTATTTCTACAATTTTAGAATAATTTTATACTTATTAAATACATACATACATACATACATACATATATACATATGTACGTAGACTTATTAATTTTATTAATAAAGCAGAGAATTATTTTCTATTATTTTAGTTGTTCAAATTAACTAATGAGAGGTTTCCTTTTTGATCGATGTATATATATGTATGTATGTACGTTCATATGTACTCGCTTGTATGTATGCCGTTTGTAATCAGATTGGCCTTGGGCAACCGAAATATAAATATTGATTCAGTTCCTTATTTGTTGTGATTAAAATACTCATGCGAATGAGTGGGAAATATAATGCATACTCGTATGTATATAATAAATCCATATGTACATACTCGTATGTATATTTTAAGTATAAAAAGCGAGTAAACATTTTTTCATTTTATGCCTTCGAAGGGGTTAAGTCAATTTAGTCATTTCCTATACTTTGCGTAGAAAAAAAGCATGAAAATTTTCTTTTAATTCACTTCGCACTTAACATAAAATTTAATTTATTTCTACAAGAGAATCACTCTTTCCATTATGTTTGCTCGCGGAGGCGTAAGTTGTTGATATGAAGCGTGGGGTACTTTTCGTTTTTAATTCCTGCATTCCACTCTTCTTCTAATGGAATTTAATGGAATGTTAAAGTTAACTTCTTGAATTTTTAATAAATTAATTTGTATACCGAAGTGTTCGTAACTTAAGTGTTTGCTAAACATTTATGCAATGAACGTCAGGGTGACCCAGTTTATGCTCAATTAAGAAAGGTTATGGTTGTTGACCCAGCTGTTGTTTGACCTTACTTAGAGCTGCATTTTGTTGTTGCCAATTTAAATAAATACTGAACCGATAAATGAGATATTTCTTAAAAATAAAAAGTGATGAAAGAAAAAATCACACAAAATCAATTTACTTTTTAAAGTTTATATGTTTAAAGGGGGAGGGATTTAGGGATGTCTCGAACAAAATTCCAATCGAAAGAGCAAGTTTCTGGACACTTTTGTAGCAGTTGCAGCCATATGTCAGCAATATATACGAGTATATAATTGACGCTAGGTAACCGCTGAAGTGATTATCGGCCGAGCTCCTACTTCATATTATGGTTTCGGCGTCTTGTTGTTTTTCCATCAAAAGGAAGGACCTACAGTTTATACTAAGCCGCCTCCGAACGGCTAATGGTTTATTATGAGGAGCTCTCATTTCATGTCACTATATAAATTAGAAAAATTTACTTAATTTTTTTTTGACTAAGTTTCTATAATTTTTGAGTGTAGGTTGGACTAACACTTGAATCCTGATCTTCCAAATGGCAGAAGGCCACTCGGCTATAATGTCCCGAATATTCTCTTTCAAGGTATCAATCGTCTCGTACTTATCGGCGTAGACAAATGACTTCACTTAATAACACAAAAAATAGTCCATCGCCAAAAACTTTCCTTCAATAAATTGATTGATAGCTGCGGTTGTTGGAACAAAAGGTCGCCCACGTGAAACTCATCCTCCAATTCAGACACGAAAAAAGTCATTTATTTAGTCATTGGCTCCACAGTGTTCCCCATTGAATGCATTATTCTGGTCGACTTCAATTTTGCTGAACAAAATTTTCTTGTGAAAATTTGGGATCGTTGACCAACTCGTTCACCAAGTTTGGTTTGAATTCTTGCAAGAGTTGGATTTTGTAAGCCCGCAACGCAAGACCTTACTGCAAAATAATCCATAAGTGAATGGGTACAGCTGCCACTGTTGAGCGCGTTGGCGGCTATACTCATTCGGCTCTCTTACGATGCTCTGCTAACGTCAGCAATTGTGTTTTCGGTGCACACTCGACGAAATATCTCTAAACACCGGTCTGTGTTGCTTTGGTAAAAAGTTATAATTTTCAAGGATACTTGAGGGGTTGGGGTCCACTGCTGTGTTACCAGTTCTACTATGGATAGAATGTCAAGAATTATGTTTAAAACTGCTTTTTATATGGGTGGTTGATAGAGGCAACTGGTCTGGTGCTCTGAGTATTGTATACGTTTATACATAGCAGCGAACCAAAAGACAGCGGCTCCATTGGTTAAGTCATGTCTTCGGAATGGATGAGAATACTACAGGCTAAAGTTTCTCATGCAGTATCCAACTGGGTTACCAAAGAGGGAGGAAGTTTTCTACTTTATTTGCAAAAATCCGGTGGAAAAAGAGGTGGATGGAGGAATGGCTATAATCACGTAAGCTATGTCTACCCCAGTAAGGAAGGAAAGCAGCAGAAACTTAAAGCTATTTTTTTTTTACACTTTTCATAGTGCTGCTGATAAAAAATTGAATTTGTTCATAACTTTATTCAGACGGATATGGCGCATGTGAACAAGGAAATAAGCATGAATGCAGATATGTATGTGTATGTGTAGTGCATATCATTTATTATTGTAAAATAAAATGGACAAAGATAACTTTAAGCCACACAGCTATGCTTTCTCTTCTCAAAATCTCAAAATTTCTGTAAGATAAAAACTAAGCTACGAGTAAATATAAAATTGCTTCTAAGGGGAGACAGTGGGCCGAACTACCGTCTACCTTCTACTCTTATTGTGCCTCAAATAATAGAGTGTACATCTAACCGTACACATCTAGAAATTTTGCGCAATGCTGCTTATTACTTTTCGTTTTTCCGTTTCACGCACGAATGCTTACAGCGCTGGCAATAACTGAGTGCTCCCCACTCCTTAACGGTATTATCTTTTATTTAGAAGAAAAACAGTCAATAAGCGTTCAGTTACTTTTTAGCCAACTTAAAACCGAGCAATGCCAATAGAATTTATATTTGACACATCTGGAGGAAAGGAAACAAAAAAATATCCCTGAAATGTAATTTGAGTGTGAATGTATTAGGGTGTGTGTGTGTTTGTGTATATATACTTATTTATGTATGTATGTATTAATTTAACTCTGTGTTGAAAAGGATGCTTCTAATGGTATTATTTGGCTTAGTTTGAGTTTTTTTTTTTTACTTTTTGGCATTGTTTATACCGCAAAATATTTATTTGAAAAATCCTCTGTTGGTGAAACACCTTTGAAGTTCCTTTTGCCTTCTTTGTGTAAACCAAATATTTATGTCAGCAATTCCTAGGCTGATGTACATCAATTAGGGAGACAAATAAAAATTTAGTAAAGAGCTTTTGAAAAGGGCCGAGGACGAACTATTAGGTATATAAACAGAATTGCCAAATATTTGTTCGACAAGGGTCAACCACAAAAAGATAGCCACTGCAATTAGGGGGAGTAAATATCTCTGGTGAGGGGAATTTTTAATATTTTTAATTAATTACCTAAATTCTGCAAGAAAACCTGTGCGAGTTTGTGTATTAGAGGGTCAATAAATTCTTTAAGTCGTCAACCACTAAATTCTGGCGTCGAATTTACTAAAATTTCTTCAGAGAATACAGAGCAACCCTTTCCACTGTACTGTACTGTTGAAAGCTCTAAGCTTTTCAGCTGCAAATAATTGGGCATTATAATTGCTTGCAGTCATCGTTAAGATGCCGCTTTTAGGGGATTCGGTTACAATTTCTCCAAACGATATTTTCTTCTGCTTTTTGGCGGTGTCTACGTAATTACAGAAGAGCTAACAAAAGCTATTCCAATTTATGGTAATTTTCAATTATAAAAAATAATGGATAACAATAATAATATTCTCTGCTTATTTTCGCTGTTTGCCGCCAATCGGAAATGCCAAGTGTAGTCAGGTCTTCCTCTTCCTATCCTCCGTCATGGAGAGCTTTCAAAGCTGGAGTTTTCTCTTCCATACGGGCCACTTGGCCTACGCAGCATAGCCACAGTCTCTTGCTTGTCAATGTCGCCATATATTTTGTATAACTCATCGTGACATGGACTGCGGTTTTCACTGACTGCCAAATCGCAGAGGACCATAAATCCTACAAAATAAATATCCCAAAGCTGTTTGGTCTTTTTTCGTCATTTGGTCATTTAGATCAGCTCTTTGGGTCTGACAAGAGTTTGCTACGATCTTTAAACCTTCTTCGCCGCGTATCGAGCATTTCTCTTGTCCGCCAGCTTCTATCTAGCCTTTTTTTTCTCCACTGCGGCACGACAATCCTTATTGTACCAGCTGTTTTCTGTTCCTTATGGAAACCAATAGTCTCGTTTTTAGCTGCGCGAATGGAGGTTGAAATGTCGTAACGTTGTTGATGAGTGCTTGCCATTTCGATGAAGTATTCCAGAATTATTGAGCCAATAAAGTGCTACTTGGAGGACCTTCAGATCTACGGCGCCAAAATTGTCAATAACCACAAATGTGGTAGACTTAAACAAACATATGGAGCTTTAATATCGCTGGAGTGAGCCGGTGTGGATTAAACCGCTGGATTCAGTGTCACGTATCTTCCTACTGGGTATAACAATCACAACTAGGACTGCCTCAACAAACGCTAAGGTTTGGTCCTGTTTACAGATCGGACGAAATCATAGTAGCTCTAACATTACCCTCAAAGTTAAAGCCACCGCAAAAGGACTGATAGATTTTCATCAGAAGCTGTTATTTTCATGTTGAAAATACAATCTGGAGTCTTGACGTGCGTTCTTACTAGGGATCTCTCTCGAAGTACACACTGTTACCCACATGCAGACAGTGATTAGATTATACATATACATACTCGCACATAAAACTCGAACAAATTAAAATATTGTTAATTTAAAATTATTACAAGCAGTTGTAATTTATAATTTTTTTTTTCAAAACTCCATCTTTTTAACAGCAAACATAAAAAATAAATTCATACAAATACTAAATGGCAAGTGCAAGTGTAACGGTATCATCTATCAATGAATCTCAACCAATATCGGAAATTATGCTCGACAACTTTGCAGACAAATTTAATCGCACTCAGGATTATTATGAAAATCATAATATTACAAGCACATCATCGTCCGGACCGCCAGCGATAACGACAACAATGCGACCAGACATTGCACTGTCACGTTTGGCGCAAATCATATTCACAATGTCCACAACGACAATAAATTCAATGGATAATGTTACATCATACCCATTGCTGACGGAAATGACAAATGAAACGTTTGCAGCAACAACAACAATTGATGCTATTGCACTTGAACACGCGCCACAATTCACCCATACGACCATGATAAAAGTGTGTGTATTGGCCGTTATGGCGGTCTTCTCAATGCTGGGTAATATTTTCACCATGTGGAATATCTACAAGACGCGTTTCAAACGGCGGAGTATGCGTAATTCATGGAATGCCATTTACTCACTCTTATTCCATTTATCGATAGCTGATTTATTGGTAACTGCTTTTTGTATTATCGGCGATGCTGCTTGGGCTTATACGGTACAATGGCGGGGTGGTGACATGTTGTGTAAATTGGTTAAACTCTTTCAAATGTTCAGTTTATACTTGTCGACGTATGTGATGGTGCTGATCGGCGTGGATCGCTGGTTTGCTGTCAAATTCCCGATGCGTTCATTATACATGACAAAGAGATGTTATCAGTTCCTTGGCATTGTGTATATGGCGTCATTTATTCTCAGTGTGCCACAGGTGAGTGTTTGCAAATGGATTTTAATTTAGTATAGTATGTTATATATATGTTATTTTTTTTTTCATAAAAAAAATTTTATCGTTTTATATTTATATTTAATTCCACTTTATTTTATTTTTAAAATTAAAAAAAAATTTTTTTTGCTTGATTTTCTTTTCAATTAAAGTAATTCAAATAAAGTTTAATGTTATTATTTAAAATAAAGTAAATTATTATTTCAATTACTTTTATTTTACTTCGTATTTTTTTCAGTTTATATGATTTTTTTGTGATAATTAATTTAATTTTTGTCTTTTATTATAAATTTTATTAAACTTTTATTTCATTTAATTTAATTTAATTTCAATTTATTTTATTTTAATGAAATTAATTTTTTTTTAATTTTGTATTTCAATTTTTGTAATATTTTTATATTATTTTGTTTGATTTCCGCTCATTTAATTTAATTTTAATTTAACTAATTATATTTTATTTTATTTCAGACTATTTTTATTTAATATTCATTTTTTCATTTTATATTTATTTATTAATTCTTTTACTTAGTCCATTTACATTTATTTTAATTCGTATTATTTTATTCCCTTTCGTTTTAATTCAGATTTATTTTTAGTTTTTTTTCCCATCATTATTTGGCTTTATTTTTATTTTTTTTTTTAATTTTGTTTTAATTAAATTAATTTTACTAACAGAATGTAGCATTCAACGGCGAAAACCTGAACTTAAATTATTTCCTGTTTCTTATTTTTGTATTTTTTTTTTTTTTCTAAACCTATTAGTTTGCTTCATTTCATATACATTTATTTTACTTCGTATTAATTTTTGTATTTATTTTTGTATTTTACTTCGTTTATTTTATTTTTTGTTTTAATTTTTATTTACTTATATGTATTTTTTTTAATGAAGGTAATTATGATAAATAAAGTATTATTAATTAAAATAAAGTAAAGTGTGATTTCAATTACTCTTCTTTTACTTCGTATAGTTTTATTTCATTTTATATGATTTTTATGTTATTTAATTTAATTTTTATGTTTTATTATCATCTTTTTAAATTTTTTTTCATTTTATTTAATTTCAATTTATTTTATTTTAATTAAATTGATTTTTTTAATTATTTATTTCAATTTTTTTAATATTTTTATTTTTATTTAACTAATATTATTTACTTTATTTTATACCATTTTATTTTAGATTTATTTTTTCATTTAGGTTTTATTTTTTATTTCTTTTACTTAGTCCATTTACAATTATTTTAATTCGTATTATTTTATTCCCTTTCATTTTAATTCAGATTTATTTTTAGTTTCATTTTCATTTATTATTTGGCTTTATTTATTTTTTTAATTCTGTTTTCATTAAATTAATTTTAATATCCGAATGTAGCGTTAAACGCGGGAAACCCGGAACTTCATTTATTTAATTTTTCTTAATTTGTTTATTTCTTTTACATAATTCATTTAGTTTGCCTTATTTCATTTACATTTATTTTGCCTCGTCATATTTCATTACATTTTATTTTATTTTAAATTTATTTTTTCGTTTTTTTTTTATATTTTATTTCACTTTATTTTATTTTTTTTTTAATTTTTATTTATTTATATGTTTTTAAATTAAATAAGGTATTATTAATCGAAATAAAATAAATTGTTATTTCAACCATTTTTATTTAATTTCATTTTATTTTTTTTTTATATTTTTTATTTTTTTTTAATTTCTTTTTTATTAAATTTTTTTTTTTTTGTTTTTATTTTATTTTATTTTATTTATATTGTTTATTTTAAGTTAATTGATAATATTATATTTATTTTATTTATTTTTTTAATTTAATTTTATTTAATTTCATTTTATTTCATTTAGTTTTTATCCATTTTTTATTATTTCATTACTTTATTTTGTCTAAATTTATTTTATTTTATATATTTTATTTCAATGAGACTCAAAAATCCTCTCCTTAGCTTATTAACTATTAGACAAGAGGAGAAATTCTCTTACTGTATAGAGAGGTTATGAGATGAGTGTAAACATCGTTATCAACAGTTAACAGTTAGAATCTAAGCACTTAATCTGTTTAAAACTTTTATGATTTTTCTTAACTGCACTGCACTTTCTAAATACTCGGCATTCAATATCAAAACAAAATGATATTTATTTACATATTAGAGCCATTGAGGAGATTTGTCGTCACCCTTGTAGTCTGTGTAATAGTATTAGGTTTACGTCAATCGCATAAAAGTAAATTAAGTTAAATTATAAATGTTATTCTTCTTCTTTACTCACACCTTTGGCCTTTGGCTCTATTACTTGCAAACAAATAGACTTACATATGTACATATTTATATGTATATACATATATATAAAAGTAAAATGTTTTGAGAGTATTCACTGGCGTGTATCAACATATACATACATACGTATGTACGTAAAAATATATTTGCTTTGCATGCCCTGTAATCGTAAATAAGTTAATGCAGATTTTGGTAATTCCTTGGCCAGCATCCGAAAGGAAAAATTCGGTATGAACTTTGTTTTTATTATTGAGGATTATTTAATTGGTACGGTATTCTCATTTATTTTTTATGTGTGTGTGTATGTTTTTTTTTTTGTTTTTTGTTTGCTTACTTCTTGCTCTGCACAATTCATAAACACAAATACTATTCTGCAGCTGTGCGCACCACTCAACGCTGCCCTCACCACTTCGCATCGCATTCACTCGCATGATTTCGTGTGCTAAACGTGCGCCCGAACTTTTATAATTTATTCCCTTGTTGCGGTCATAATATAACGGTGCACGTATTATAAAGTGGAAACATCATAAATACAATGTTTGATAACTTCTACGTGTGCCAATATTTAAACGTACTTGTTATATGTATACACATACTTGTACCTACATATATTTACTTGTTTATGATACAATTACAACGTGGCTGAAATTCGTTGATTTCGTAAAATGCCTGAAATATTTCTTTATATGTACGCGAATGTGTAGTAATTGTGGCTATTTGTTTAATCATATACTCGTAAATATGCAAAGTCGGTGACTTTTGAAGTTAAAAAAAAACAATATATTTAATCCCAAAACACTTTACCATTTCTCAGTGAACCTTCCCAAAGGTTTTTAGATTTGTGTTGTGGTCAATGCAGAAAGTAAAGGATTTTTACTCATATATCCGAATGAATCTTGGAGGTTTATATCAGAGACAAATTGAGACGGAAGAAAAACTCGAATAAATTTATTTTAAGCGATGATCGAGCTATCGCGTAAGACTCGCTAGTACAAGATGGCCGAGCTTAACAGTAAAGAAGGATTACCTCTTCAAAGACGACTTCGAAACTGTAATGTGCGAACATCCAAAAGGTTAACGGTTGGATGAAAAAAGTTTAGGCATCATATGGATATAAAGTCAGGTGGTTTTATACGTGTAGACTACGGGGACTTTGCGGTTAAAATTTTCTTTGATTAGTTAGTCGTTTGATTTGAAAAGGGAGATAGAGAGCAAGCAGTCGCTTGAAAGCCATAGCGGTTGGTAACCACTAAAGAGATTTTTTGATGAGCTCCTCCTCAAATTTGTGGTATGCATCTTTATGTTTTTTTTTAACAAAACATGTATTCTAAGCGCCTCCTAACGGCCGATTGATTCTTGTGAGGAGCTTTTTATTTCAAGCCAGAAATATAACCGAGTTAGGACCGCAGTTGGAAAAGCCCAGGCCTTTCAATACTAACCACTCGGCTGTTACGGCCACCGAGTAAGCCATTGAGTAAGCTCATTATGCTCGTTCACGCTGAAACTGTGAACTACAATATAACGTCCCAACTGATTAAAGGGCGGATACTCAAAAAGGTATGGACTTAGTTTTTCGTCATCATTTGTGTCATGAGTAGATTACTCGTACATGCAATTAAAAGTACACAAAAAGCTGGTTTCCGTAGTACAAGAAACAGTCCAAGATGTCATACAAGACGTCTTCCGTTGGAAGTACTTTTGACAAAATTTTTAGACTCCAAACGTATGAGGTAGTTGATAGTGACTGCCTAGCCAGTGGCTTCAACGCGAGCCAGCTCGTTCGCCTTTCCGCCTTCCACATACGTGTCTATAAGAATTTTAATAGATTTTTAAGCGGTTGAAACTGCCTTCGCTATTGGGTGACCACAGAAGAACCCAGCTTCTGGGCGTGTCTCGCTTTTATAGTGAGGAAATCTTTACTCTTAATGATGGACACGGCAGAAAGTTTCCGTTTCTGGGTCATATTTTTAATTGAGCCTTAATTCTGATATAAATTTTTTGTTCACAGTTAGAGAACTGAACCCGATTGTCTGAGGCTTTGAGGCTTATTGTCAGGAACTACTTCGTGGGCATTTGTTGAAGTAGCGCTCATTGCATTTGCCCTACCAAATAGACAGTCATGTTGCACCTGTTCCAGAGTTTTTTTTTTTTAATGTTGCACATCACCCTAGTGCTTATTAAGGGATCTACAAAGCTTCAATACAAAATTTTGAGGTCGTAGTTCCCATTTTAGCGCAATAGTTTCAGCAGCTTCGCCAATCCCGAAACGCTCCACTGCTTTGCTTTCATTATGATACCCTTAGCTAAGTTCTCTGTCAAGGATTAAAAGAATAAGAGGCAGACTACATATTTTTCCAGGTTTACAGAGCGTCCTTGTCTCTCAGTTGCATCAGCTGTAGTTTCTAACGCACATTTCACTACTTGTATGTGACAGTCGATTGGAATGCTTGCCCGAAGACAGGCCTGTAGCTGTTGGGAGCACATGAAAGGTCTGTACAAAAAATATCAAAAAATATCAAAAAAGATCAGAAACTTTGTATTAAAAAAAAAAAATTATGAATCTCTAAATATTCATAGTGAACCCCGGATCTAATGCACTTATTCCGGCATTCCCTTCAATCCTCAAAGCACTTGCAGTCTTTACTTCCCCAATCATAGCGTAGCGTCCTATTCGCTTCGTCGTTTCGGAAACAAAGATTTACACACGAGGCTAAATCTGGGGAATAAAATGGCAGCGGCAACGGCACAAATGAAACATGTTTGAGCTGGGGCTTTATCACGGTGAAAAAGCCATTTTGTGTTCTCGTACAAATTCGGACGTTTCTGGGGGTTTACTTCGTGCAAATTGCGCAGGTCTTGTAGATTTATGAAAGCGAATCTCTTCGGAAGAATTTTGGTATCTTCTTTAAATTTACAACTCACTCACAAGTTATGCTCTTTTATAACGAAAATCTGTTTACTGAAGTCTCTGTCTCTTGCTGTACTTCACTGAGTAATCAGTGAGAAGAGTCTAAAAATTTTTTTCCAGTAGCAGTGACCATAATAACGGTATCGATAAGAGTTTCCTCAATTGCATTCGGAATTACTTATTTGAAAAAAAAAAAAAATACAAAAACCCTCGTGTATATATGAATTTGTATGTATGAGATTGAATTAATCAAGAATTTATGACAAACATATGTAAATACTGTGTACACTGTTGTTGGAAATTATTATGAGAAAGCTATAAAAATCAGTTATTGGCTATAAGTTTATTTGCATTTATTTACTAAGATTATTAATGTGCTATATATGTATATATGTATGTATGCTCTAACAAGTAAATAACTATAAAAAAATTATTCTCTTTTGATGATGTTTTTGTTGTTTTTTTTTTTCATCAGTTTTTCATATTTCACTTATCGCGCGGTCCCTTCGTGGAAGAGTTTCATCAATGCGTGACGCATGGCACCTACACAGCGCCGTGGCAGGAGAAGAGTTACACAACATTTACGCTCTTCAGCACTTTTGTAATTCCCCTCGCCATACTCACTGTCACCTATGTATCGACGTTTCGTGCGATTTCGGGTGAGTACGAAAAGTAACTGTATGTGAATGCCTTTCATAAAAACTAATTTCAATTATTTAAATAAATTTACAGAGAGTGAGAAAATGTTTTTGGGTCCACAACAGGACGCGCACGCCAGCGCCAATTTAATGCATACAAATCGACAGCGACTCATACATCGCGCCAAAGTGAATTCGTTTCGCCTGTCCTTTGTAATCATAATTGCATTTCTGATATGTTGGCTACCCTATTGTACGCTGATGGTTCTCTTTCAGTTCGTCAACATCGATGAAGTGGTGAGTGCGCCAAAAACTTCATGATTAATATTATGTGAAATCACTAAATTTTCCGCGAAAGTTTGCTTTATTGCCAAAGTGTCTGGTTTCTCGACTAAATTGATTTGTTATTTTATTTACTTTCAGACAAGTAGAAGATTAATCGATGTCATATTCTTTTTTGGCATGTCGAATAGTTTGGTGAATCCCCTCATTTATGGTGCTTTTCATTTAAACGGCTTTGAGAGGAAAACCAGTGATAAGGGCGGTGGTAATAGCTTAAATAGGTGAGTTGCAGTGTTGTTGTTTTATTAACGTGAACTTTTTAAGTGTAAATTTGTAAATTATTTTTAACGTGAACTTGTTGATCTTTTTTTTTTTATTTTTATTAGTTTCTAGAAACCTTTATAGTATGAATGATCTTAACAAAGTGGTCTCGATGTAGGTTGTTATTCGAAATTATTGCGAAAAGCTTTTCCCCATCATTTATGAGCTTTACTCAGAGAACTGCCAGATTATTCAAATACTGGCAAATTTTTTCCCAATAAATCAAAAAAAAAAAAAATGTGTCCAACTCGAAAAAAAAAAAAAAATTTTATGGACTTTGCTCAACAAACTATTTATGTAAAATTCTAAAGCGGATTTGAGACTAGTCTAGAGCTGATATTCTTCACAACTATTTCCAAGCAAATTATGAATTAGCTGAAGCGATGTTCTGCCGAGCACTTCCTTGAACTTGTGGTGTGTGCCTTGATGCTTTCCGAGAAATAAAGGGGCCTACAATTTATACTAAGCCGCCTCCGAACGGCTGAAGGATTTTTATGAGATTTTATTTTACGTCAGAAATGCTTTCGGAGGACTTGAGGTTCCGACTGCCGACTGCAGTTGCAATTTTCCATAATTCTTGGATATTGGTGCGAACCAAGACCCCAAAGGTTAATGCATTGAAAAAGTATCAGTTGACGGGGTGTATGAGGCACTATGAAAACTATGTCAACAAAGGCGCTGGAGACCATCCTCGACATGAAGCCAATCAGCATACAAGTTATGTTTTGAAACAGAGCTAACAGCAAAGATGGGATCTGTAGGCATAGCCTAAGCTTATCCTTAAGATATAACTAAATTCGAGTGAGACGAACTAGGCGATAGGGAAAAAGAAACTTTTTGATGGCGGCAAGCAGTCATGGGTAATAATGAAGATGAACATATGTACATATATGTATCTATACTTTAAAGGACAGATAGGACGATTGTCAAATGAGTAATCGCTTTAATACGAAAATCTATTAGGTTTCGTTCAGAGCTTGCAAGGTATCCAATAGAAAATTATGCCCAAAAATAGCAGTGTACATTAATGAAAAAACGACAAGCTGGATTGCGCTAGCGATTCTGTAAGCACCGACAGCCTCAGGCCTTTCAGCGTCTTGAAATTGTTGTCTAAAGAACTGGAAGCAATGAAGGAATAATTAAGCTTTTAAAGCACAAATCCTACCATGAAATTGTTATGAGCCTGCCTTGATTGCAGACAGATTAAATTGCCCTTGAGTGTACGACCTTTCTCTCATCGTGATTTCAGTTTCTCTTTTCCGGTGATAGGTACTCAAAAGTGGAATGACTGCAAATTCATTCCAAAACCTCGCCTTTGAACCAACCAGCTTTAAAGCTGGAGAATTTTATTTTCATACAGACGCAACGTCATTTTTTTTTTTGGAGTACAACAACTTGGTACATCAACTACAATTACCATGCGCCAAATCTTGGAAAAGACGCGTGAGAAGAGTAACGAAAAACACCATCTCTTCTTAGTTTCTAAAAGGAAGCTGCCTCTACCCCGCCGTGTCCTGTGTGTGTATCTCCACAAAACTAATAAGGCTATGTAAACTGATTTTAAGCAACACCGAAAGCTCCGTCAGATTCCGGATGGACCTCTCTTGCCCTACGATAATACGAACCGTTCAGTTCGAGCAGGTACATAGATAGTTTACTTGAACGCGTGGGAGTATAATGAGCCTATTCAATAGCAGAATTGGGCTCCCGGGATCAACCTGATAGATATGATTTTACCGCTATCACTTATACCATGGAACTACAACAAGGTCCGAACGGTTCGAACTAGTGTTTCCAAGGCGGCTTAGAAATCGGCGAATAAGTGGTATAAATTAAAGAAGGCCGGAAGATGGGCGAGGACCGGGAAGACGAAAATTATTTTCTTTTAATGTTAAAGGCTAAAGGATATTGGATCGGTTTTGAAATGGACAATCGATTGGCTTTCTAGATAAATTCAGTTCAATTTGTTTATTTACTTAGGAACCATAAAGCATGAATTCCAGAAAATGGATTTTCAATAAAAGCGTCAGCAGATGACACTTTCCCATGCATTTGTTATGTAATTATTGTTACAGTTACATATAATGTATAAGTTATTTTCCATTTGTGCAATAAATGATTAATAGATGCAATCGTATAGAATCGTTATTGCATTGTTTTTCATGATATAATTGCAATATTTACGTGATAAATATAAATTAAAGATATTGCAACACAAACTTCTAAATACGAGGGGATTAACAAAAGTTCGGTCAGTTGGTGACTTTCAATTTGTTTTTGTTAAATCTAAAACTACCAAATCCTTTGCAATTATTTGTTTAGACTTCCTTCCAAATTTTAGAACGATCGGCTAAAATGGAGGCGAGAAAACGCTGAGAATAGATCAGACGAACAGAAATACGCCTCGGGTTTCGGCATAATTTACAGCCAATACAAATATTCAATAAATGACAAATTGCATATGGAACGATTGCACCGTCTTTTAAGACTATTTATAAGTGCTTTTGAAGATTTCAGTCCGGAAATTTTTTCGTAGATGACTAGCCCGGAGAAGGTCGAACAAAATCTTTCGCCTGATGACGCCACTGTAGCTCTGACAAAGATCCTCGATAGAGACAATAAATGATTGCTAATGAATTGGGCTTGAATGCCATGACTCTACTGGGAATATTAAGTCATCATCTGCGATACACGAATAAATCTGCTCGATGGATACCACAAATTTGAATGAGGCCCAAAAAGAGACTCGTGTGCATTTGCTGAATTTTTCCTAAAAAAAAAAAATTGAAAATAGTCAGTCTAGTAGCTTTAGTAAAGTCGTTACTGGCGGCGAATCTTGGTGCTAGAAGTATGATCCAGAAAACAAACAGCAGTCCATGGTATTGAGCCCAACTGGAGCAAAACCCACCCGTAAAATCTAAGCAAGAAAAATCAGCAGCAAAAGTAATGAAGTCAGTTTACTTCACCCAATCTTAAATTATAGCTGCTATTCCACTGGGGATAAAAGCCAGAAAATAAATTCAAAATGGTACACCGAAGAGTGCTTCAAAAATTTGTTGGAAAACAGGAAGTAAGAGGATTTGCGGCGCTACTTTTTGCATCACGACAACGCGCCATACCACACTGCTGAAATAACGAGTAATTTTATTGCTAGGATCCAGCACCATATTCCCAGGATATAGCACCTTGTGATTTCTGTTTATTTCCAAAAATTAATAGCAACTAGAAGATAATTTATGGGGCTAAAGCTGAGCTTGATAAGCTTATGAAGCAAAATTTTAAAGACTGATTTCAGAAGTGGTTTTATAGGCTTAAGAAATACCTGGATATACATGGCGATCATATAATGAAGATAAAAAGGACAAAGATAATTTTTTTTTTTTTTCTGGTCAACTTATAGAGCTTTTGTTAAGCTTTTCGTATATGTATAAATGCTTGCTGCATTTGCAGACTTTTTTACGTTGATTGACCGAACTCAGTGACTTAGTCTTCCTCCCTCCACCAATGCCAAACAGAATTTCCTGAATAACGGTAATATAAGCCTTTCAATTTCTGAAAGCATCGACCAGCTGGGGTGCGGCGGCTTCCCAATTGGGAGACCGTACCTTCCAAGTACATGCCCTCAACCGAAGACGCTATTATTGCTGCTATTGAGCAGAGTATCGAAGAAGACCCGATATGAAAGATTTTGCGACAGTGTCCAGGTTTGCGAGCTTACAAAAATGAAGATTTGAAGTCGAACGTCCATCCAGAGCGTTGCACGTTCGGAAAATGCCTCACGATCCTAATTTTTACAAGAAAGTTTTATTCAGCGAGGAAGCACAAGTTAATCAATTTATTGAATCATACTTTTGGTGTGCGCATTATCTCACGTGGAGTAGGCCTGTGGCGTCAGCTCCAAGATCTTGTGATTTAATACTGTGGGACTATTATTTATGGAGTTTTAAGAAATCAATTGCTTACACAGATAAAACCCGAGACGATTGACGCGTGGGTAGAGAATATTCGGTGCGTTATTGCTGACAAAGTGGTGGAAAATCGGCCCTCTCGGTATATTTTGTTATGTTGTCAATAGTAAATATCTTCTCATTTAGTTTCCCCCAAAGGAAGAGAATTTTAGCCACCTTTGTTTATACAAGCCCGAGGACCGATCCAAAAAATTATAAAATTGAAAAGTTTTAAGGGAAAGGAAAGTTCGATTTCCGACTGAGCTTCTGCTTCAATTTTTGGTGTCCAGCCAATTGAGAGACCCACAGTTTATTCAAAGCCATCTCCGAACGGCTGACAGATTTTTCGTAGAGGTCGACAGTTTCTAAATGAAGATGGGAGACCGAAATCGGAAAAAAAAACGATTTTTTGTAATTTAAATGTTGGCGCACCACAGTCGGCTTAAAATGTACGTCGGCTAAACCAACATTATTTTGAAAAGCCATGCTAACACATTTTCCCTTGACGAGTCTCCAATAAGTATAACTACGGCAACATATCTACTCCAATTGCAAAGACTCTGTTTCACAAACTCTTAGACCTTTCCCGTACGTAACAACAAATGATTGACATTCACTTTATTTGAAATTGAGAAATTTACATAGTATTCCATTTACAATAAAAAGTATCTAGATATAATAAACTCCAACAAAACATAGTAATACAATCCAAGTATATATGTATGTATGTATGTATATATTTTCAGAGCTGACTCACAACGCAATCCCTCCGTGTTAACAGCTCTAACACAAGTCGACGGATATGGACGGAGCACACGTAACAGCCGCAAGGCCAGCTACTACCGTACCCAACACAGTTTGAATAATTCCAAAGAACAGGCCAGTCTACTGCAGATGAGCCCCGCCACAGCGATTGTGCATAAATTCAATTCCAGTCAAGTCAAGTCGGAACGAAATTCGTTGGGTTCATCACCACAGACACAATCGGAAAATTGCGAACCAGATCCTTTTGAGCAATGTGGCAATAGTTGTGGCGGCGGGGGTGATGGTGTAGGTGTTGGTGTTGGCGAGGCTGCCACCATCAAGCGAGATGCTAATACACATAACGCTGTGGTGTATAATTACAAAAATTCAAAATCAACCATTTTGCACGCAAACACTTTGGAAGATTTGGAAAATTCGCTGGGTAATCGTATGCAAACGTCGAAGGTGAACGCAGCGGTAGCACCTGTGTCCGAGAATGGTTTTCATCGGTCGGTGTGTGTGTTGAGCATTGAGGGTTGTAAGATATGCACGGATGAGGATGTGTCTAATGTGTAAGTGTATAGGTAAGTAGATAAATAGGTGAGCAGGTGTATAAAAAATGTGTATGTATGTGTGTGTGTGTGCGATTTCCATAACAAAAACTTTTAAAAAGAAAGCTCCTCATTTAAATATTCCATTATGAAGTGTGTGCCTGTGTGTGTGTGTGTGAAAATGTGTGTCGATAGCCATGTAAGTATGTTAACAACTTCTACATTTGCAAGTAAATATGGATGGAGTACAGTGTAGGTATGTAAGCATTAGGGTGTTTCTATAAAAAAAATTCAGGAAATTAAAAAAAAAATAAAAAAAATTAAAAATAAAATAAAATTCAATTTTAAATGCAAGACTCCGGCGCTTTTAAATGCATTGGTGGAGGTGAAAAAGTTATTATAATTTTATGAAGATAAATTAATAAATCTCATTCCCATTAAAATCGTATACTTTTTGTTGTAATTTGTATTTATACTATACAAAAGTAAGGAACACCCTAATATACGTACTTATATCTGTCCTATATACATACATTTTTACTTTCCCGACAATATGTTTGAAAATTTTCATTAACTTCACCAAATATAAATTGTATATTTAAGTTTATTAAAAGATGGTGAGACTTTGTATTATAAAAAAAAGTAGTTTTAAGAAAGTTCTGAAATGCATAAAAATAAAAAAAATTTTATAAATCATAGAAAAAAGTATGCAATCAATAGATAATATAATTTTAAGGCAAATTTTATACAAAACATCGAATTTTTTAACTAAAAATAAAACTAATAATAAATATAAATATATACATAAGTGTGCATAAATATTATTTTTAAAAATATGTTTATATGTTTAAATATATGTATGCATGTATAAATATACATATGTAAAACAAAAAAAAACTTTTTTAATATTTCACCAATGAACCCGGTTTGTTGTTAAAGAAAGTTTACAATTTGATTTTCGTCAAGGGCTTTCTTAATACCCTCGAGTTTATTTGCATTCGGAGTGTGTTTATCCCCAAATTTCACATGTAATTCGATTCGATTCTCGTTTGTATTGTAAATTTATGTTTAAACATATGTAAATGTTTGCTTAATTTAAAAATAGGCAAACTCTGGAGAAACATTTGGTTACTTAGTTATCATATTTTCAAATATTTCACCGGTGCATACTCGTAGGTGTGCTTCATTCCCTTTTTTGAGGTTGCTCAGCAATCCACCAGCTGGCTGGCATTGGCTTGTCCCAATAAGCACGAAACAAACTTTTTACCACAGTTGGAGCAACGATGTGTAAGCAGGAGCGTTATCCTGGTGCAAAAGCCAATTTTTGTTCTTCCACAAATCCGGGCGTTTCTGGCGGATTTCTTCGCGCAAATTGCGCATAACTTGCAGGTAATGTTCCTTATTGACTGTTCTACCCTGTGGCCAGAATTCATGATGCACCACGCCCCTGCAATTCATTTTTTCGTCTGTTGTTGAAGTGCTCCGGCGTCCGGCACGCTCTTCGTCGTTCACATCTTTTCGGCCTTCTGAGAACATTTTTTACCACCGATAAACGTTGCTTCGGTCCAAGGTAGCTTCTCCGTATGCCACAGTCAACATTCGGAATGCATCCGCGCACTTAATTCCTTTTTTTCACATAAAATTTAATACAGGTTCTTTGATCCATTTTTTTGAATAGGTAAAAATTCGAAGACCATCCAAAACACGCGCAAGCAAAGCAGCAGTCAACAATTAAGTGAACATTCAAAATGGCCGAGCTTGTCGACATAAGTGACAGACATGAGTACCAACATAACGCCACAAAAAAATCGAAATTCAATTATACGTAACCCGCGAAAATTCAAAATACGCGGTACTTTTTGAACTCACCTCGTATATATATATATATATATATATATATATATTAAATATTCATTATACCCCTCTCGTAGAAGGCCGCGTCCCTATTGGCAAAAAACTCGGAACCAATTTTCTTAGGCCTCTCTTGAACCAACTTCCCACCTTTAAGCGCGTTCGCCATGGACAGGAAAAGATGGTAATCACTTGGTGCCAGATCCGGACTATAAGGTGGGTGCACTAGGACCTATCATCTCAGCTCCTGGAGCGTCTGGTGTGTCACCAAAGACGTGTGTGGCCTGACGTTGTCCTGATGGAACACAATTCGGCCTTTATTGAACAAAGATGGCCTCTTCTCGATGAGTGCTGCCTTCAAGCGGTCCATTTGTTGGCAGTAGAGGGCCGAATTGAGCATTTGGCTATAGGGGAGCACACAGCAAAACCTTCCTGGCCGTCAATCCGGTCTTGGCCACCGTCTGGGCTTCTTCCCCGAGCTTTGACCACGACCGTTTGCGCTCGATGTTGTCGTAAGTGACCCATTTTTCATCGCCAGTCACAATCCGATTCAGAAACGGGTCGATTTTGTTGCGATCCAGCAGCGATTCACAGATGGAGTTTCGGTCCATCATGTTTTTTTTTTCCTTTTTACTTGACCTAATATGTACATACGATACGATACCGCCTCGCGAATTTGTCCAAACTTCGATTTGTTTGAGGTAATTTTCCAGCACTTTTTGGCACATATTGGGTAGTGTCTCAGCCATAACTTGACGAATGTTAGTTTTCGTGCGCTCGAGAGTTAAAGATTTATCCGCTTAGCCTCTCCTCAGTTATTTGAGGATTCTCAGAGCCGAAAATTTTGCGTACTTACGTATCTCGCCGAGTGAGATGAATGTGCCTTGTCGTTGAAGAAAATTTTGTTTGAAAAATCGCCCTCAGTTGTTGTGTGAGCTAGACTTTATGTGGATATATGTTAGTGGAAGTCCAAGTGCCAGAATGTACCGTAAGAAGGTGCCAGCTCTTGGGAACGTCGAGAAATAGAAGCAGTCAAGTCTTTGGCTACACTTTCACTTACAGGAGCGATATTTCAAGTAGAACGAACAAATGCACAGGCCTCACAATATCTCTAACCGATTCAGTTTCTACAAATTAAGTGTACCGTATTCTACGCTTAAATCACGGGGCGTGGTCACCTTTGAAAAACCATTTCTGTTGTCGGTTTGAACAATTTTAACGCGTTGTGCGGTTTTAGGCGCTCCATTTTCAAATTACCTGCCTTTTAAGTAAAACAAACTTGTTTGGTTTGACAAATGTCAAAATACAACCCTGCTTTTTTGATACCAAGCATTTGGATAACCCCATTTAAATAAAAAAAAAAACGAGTGAGAGTCATAAAAGCCTAAATGAGAAAGCTTATTTCAATGTCTGAGATAAAAATTCGAAGAGATGTCAGGCGAATTTAATGCCCTTCAATGCCAAATTGTGAAAAAAATTAACTTTGAAGTAAGCTCACGGGAGATAATCTTTTTCAAAACTGAATCACGTTTTCTTATCAAAAAAAAATATCTTTTTGCTTGAGTAGGCATTGTTTCTCCATTTGAATTAGACTTGAAAAACGACACACAAAATTGAATCTCCAATTGAGCTCAAATCAATTTCGAATCAAAATGTTTACTGGAGTAGATTTAGATTTAGATTTAATAAATTCAAAAAAGCGAAGCTCATTTGCGATCTACACCTGCTGAGAATATCTCTACCTCTAACTAAGTTTTTTAGCAATTAAACTTCGCTCTAACAAGTCGTGAGTGTAAGACTAATAGCATAGGCCGAACGTGGGTGTGTTAGGCGAGAAAATTACGAAGTGAAGTAAATATTTAAAATTTAAATTGCGTTAAATGTACAAAAAATTAAATAAGTTAAAAAAATTTTAAATTAAGATATAAAATACAATTTTGAATAATTTAAAAATTTATGTACTTAAAATTGAAGACAAGAAATGATCATGTGAATATTTTAGCAAATGGTTGGTTGTATGTAATATATTAAACTTGTGTGCTTTAGACTTAAATATGAAAATTAAAATAAAAAAATATATACTTATTTTAAGCCAGATCGAGCTGAATTATTTTTTTTTTCCAATTAACTCCGACTCAAGTCTGCTGAAAATCAATTTGTAACTTGAAAGGGTTGCCTACTAATTAAATTTATTTATATATACATATATGTATATAAAAGTATATACGTGTTAAAAATTATTTACATACATATAATAGTAAAAAAATGTGTATATATATTAAAAAAAAAAAATTAAATAATATTCAAAGTCATAGTAAGAGCAATGAAGAAGGATAATACATCCCCATTTGTGGCATAAAATCAAAGCAACCGCATTTAACTGCCATTGCCAACATAAATAAATCTCTCTGGCAATGACGACTTTTTTTTACAACCATTTTGATCTTCTTCGTCTTCTTGTCATTTAATGATGTCTCACACGTTCTTGTCATTAAAGTTGAGCACAAAAAAAAAATTAATAAAAAAATGGAAATAAAATTTGTAATTGTTAAATTATGCTCCGGTTTGTTATGTACAGAAATTGTCTATATACGTTAAGTTTGTATGTATGTATGTATGTGACAAAGTTTTAAAATTGTTTAAAAAAGTATTTAAAATTTAAGATTTTATAATGCGCGCGAGTACGAGTATATGCTATGTACATGAGTATTTATGTATATACTCATATGTATGCTTGTATTTATGTACATGTGTAAAGTCAATTTTGAATAAAGAATAAAGTTTATATTTTAATAAAAATATTTGTGTGAAAATTTATATTTTTTTAATGTCAGAAAATTTTTAAAATTTTAATAGAAGTCAGGTTAGGATGGGGAATGCGGTCATTTGTAGAAGTTCACACATATCCTCTGGGTAGCCAACAAATATCCATTTGGAGGCGAGCTAGAATGGGAAGGCGAATCCCATGCGGTTGTGTGTAGGACTTGGGGCCCATCACATGAAAGCCAAAATCCAATGAAAAAACTTCAAAAAGCCTCGTATGAGAGACACCCCTTTTGATCCCGGAGAAGGTGAACCTGGAGTTTCGGGTGATTGATGACCAAGGAAAAGTTTTTCCAAGCAATCACCCGCTTAAAAAACAACAAATCGGCTGGGAACGATGGATTACCGGCCGAGCTATTCAAATACGACGGTGAAGAACTGATCAGTTTCTTTGCAAAATATGTTCGGATGAAAGCATGCCCGACGTTTGGAACTTAAATGTGCTCTGCCCAATCCACAAAAAAGGCGATCCCACAGTATCCGCCAATTACCTTGGAATAAGCCTCCTTAACAAAAGTCAACAAAGTCAACAAAATGACCTCATCAGTGTGGCTTTAGACCTGGTATGTCAATATTCACCATGTTCCAAATCTTGGAAGAGACCCGTGAAAAGATGACGGACACACACCACCTCTTAGTCGATTTTAAAATCGCCTGCAACAGCACGAAATAAAGCTGCCCTTACGCCGCTATGTCTGAATTTGGTATCCAGCCGTAATAAACTGACCTTAAGAAACATTAAAAGCAGCGGAGAAAGTAACCCTTATTATTATTATTGTGAAAAAATTGTTATACATTTCATGTTCCATGTATTGCCCATCGGAAGCTACGATATTGGCCCATCTTTCTGGCAGTTTGTGGATCCCATCCCAAAAGAACTTCTTCGGCTTGGAGGTCAAGAACGA